CGATGAGTGCCGTCCAAATACAGACACATAAATCCAAGTAAAAGTTTCCGCACCGGGGGTACAGCACAGCCACACTGAATATGGATAAGTATAAGGTATAGAAGAACTGGAAGTTCCAGAACTTAGTGATGGGTGCCGTCCACGTCTCGTAGACCAGTAGCCATAGGGGCGGCTGTCGGTGATAGAGGACCCGCTTTTCCATAATGCTCTCAGTACTGAACTTTTTAATCTCGGGTTTTATATTACTTTTCGATTTCTTTGCAGTATTTTTCTTATGAGTGGAGTTCGCGGCACCAGTAGTCCTCTTGTCTTCACTCAAGACATTGGAGTCAGTGCTCGCGTCAGACGCGGAACCGGTGTCCAAATCATTAGGATTTTTCGTATGATTGGCTAACTTTTGATGACTATTACTGCGTCTATGGCTGGTAATAGTGACCTCTTCGTCCTCATCGTCTGAATCCTCTTCACCGATCACAGCCTCCCCCTCATAGTTCGGTAGTCGTACCCAGAAGTAGATGGGGAACAGGAGGTAGGCGCTGAGCAACAGTTTCTGGTAATAGTGACCTCTTCGTCCTCATCGTCTGAATCCTCTTCACCGATCACAGCCTCCCCCTCATAGTTCGGTAGTCGTACCCAGAAGTAGATGGGGAACAGGAGGTAGGCGCTGAGCAACAGTTTCATGAGTGTTGGCAAACGAAAGCAATTAGTCCTGAGCTCACGAACCGATATATTTCCGTAGAATTTATCGGTTAGCCATCTCTGACACGCGGGATGTGTAAAGAATTGTCGAAATCGACCGAAAGCTGCCAAATCCACTGGTCTATGGATTTATAACGGGTTATTTAAAGGTAATCTAGAAATTACTATTTGACCAATTTGTGGTCAAATCTAATGATCAGTGATTGACATAAAAACTTACTTTAATTATAACTCTATTTTATGTGAATTTCATAGTTTGTAAACTTTATAAATTAGTTTCTGTTATTTTACGTTAAATTTTACGCATTATTACAGATAATTGTCATTTCTTGACATTTTTAGACTCATTTGTGATATTTCTTTAATATTTCGTTAATAAAATCTATTAGACATACCGTTTGAAACTATATTCTTTGGACGACTCGTTGAGCACTTGACTCGTCCTCTTGAATGAGTCTTTATAGCAAATGTCTAATACATTGGACGCAAATGTGACGAACTGTTGGCACTCTTCCTTCAACTCATTCTTGAGGCCCTCTTCGATGACATACCACGACAGCCGGTCGTAACAGATGGCTATTGTCAGCGCCATATGAATGGGTTGATCGCAATGGCGCCACAAAATGCGGACCAAATCCTTACGAAAGTCGAGGACTGCCCACAACACCAATAATAAGAGGGATTTCTTTTCGGCCACTTTCTCGGAGCACATGAACTGTTGGGTGACATACATATCGAGCTCATCCTCTTCCAAGAAGTTGGCGACCCCTGCGCTCGCCTCCACCAACCAATTGAGTTCACGGTTTAGAAATGTTTTACTGCTCTGTCTCTCATCAGGCGATCGGCCGAGTATTGTCTCCCAACACACCGTCTGAAAGAACTTCACGAATATAATCACAGTTTTATTATTATATAATTGAATACTAAATATAATGTCTTAAACATAATTGAATTTAGTTAACACAACTGGGATACTTAAGTAAATAATTAGATGATATTCTAGTGACAAATGTCTGAAATACATACAAACCTCTCGCGAATGAATTTTACGGAACAATCGCTTCACACGTTTCGGTGTAATGAATGTCCGGATTTTGAATTTTTGCGACAAAAACAGATCCACAAAATCTATACAATTGGTCCGTAGGAGTGAGTCTTCAAACAGCTTCTTCTGACTGCTTAACGCGAATTTAGGGTCTTTTGGCAGCACTTCCTCTTTGGCCACCTCTGGACAGCTCCAGTCGACACATAGATTCAAGTCTTTAGTGATCTGATCAGTGGGTATCCTCTGGGCGGTGGTCACGTTGGCCGGGGTCACCTCAGTCTCGGGATGTTTGGGCCGTTTTGATCGAAACAATGCTAACAATAAATACTCGGAAAGTTTCTCCAAATTACAGGAAAAGGTGTCAAACATATTAATAACAGTCAGAAAACTTTGCTCTTCTTTACGACTCTCACGAATCGATTCCAGAATTCGAGTCCTGAATGTATCGCAAAGCAATAAATTGGTCCCTAATTTGGGAAACATATCAATGATTTTGATGGTCAGCTCCGGCTTGAGGTATGTCTCGACAAACTCGGCGTTCCATACATTCATACATCGGTCACGGATTTCGTTGTCAACAAACGCCAACAGATCAGCCAAACCTCCCGACCCTCTTAGCACAACGACAGGCAAACTGTTTTTGATTTGTTGTAATACAAGTCGAGAGCTATTATATCCGCCTTTCATTACAATGGAAACGACGGGGATTTCGTTTCTCTCGATAGACATCAAGTCTTTGTCATCATCTGTCTGTCCATCCATGAGCTTCTGCTTCGCTTTAAGCGCTTGACTTTGATTTACGGCCAAAAATGTGATGAATTTAATGAGAAATGAATTGACGCCCGATTTATTGGTGGTCTCGTCTTTGATGAGTATATAATGTGTGAGATTTTGGTTGAGTTCATACTTTTCTGGCTTCACTCGACTCTCCGGTCCGGTTGAGACCATAATTTTTGGCTAAAATTGGTCACAATTTACAAAAAAAGTTATTATTTGTAAATATATAGATCACCTCTTGACTGGAAACGATTGTCTGCGAGTATTTCAACATCTCTTCGTCTGCAATACCAATGAAATTGAATTTCGAGAACGACTTCTCATATTCAACTCCTTTCTTATACTTGGCTTCTGTCACGTAATCCCTGACCGCATCGCCCACTATAGTGGTCGACCCCATGTCCACACCGCTTGCTATTAACCACATATTCGTGTTTTCCGCCGCCTTTCAATCAAACAAATATAAGTTTTATTCTTAGGAATGGTTCAACACTTTTCATACTTTCATTAAACCCATTTGAAAATTTTTGATTTGTTTGTTATTATTCCAGTTATTAATTGGACCACAATTTGAGATAATGAAGAGCACAATACGAGGAGTCATTAGTTTCCATCGCTTATGAATAACATGTCGGAACAGGTCTTCGATTTGTATGTTATGAACACATCTGACCATTGGTTTGGACTAATTGTTTGCAAATACAAGATAGAGTTATACTACTATAGAGTGAAGAGAGAGAGAGAGAGAGAGAGAGAGAGAGATGGATGGCGAACCTGATTAATAGCAACTTCACTGTCATTGAATATAAGTGAACTGATTTGTCGTATTTGTGGACATTTAATGATAACATTTTGGATCTCCTCTTTGATAGCATTAACTTCCTTCTCATTCTGAAACCCTTCAGAAGATTTTACTGCAATTTTCTTATCCATGAATGACAGCACAATTGAAATTGACAATAATATCAAAATTGGTCTGAAATAAGATAATACTTGAACCAAATATTTCAATTCGTAACGGAGTTCCCAAAAAGTATAAGTCCGTTGAGTATTATCTAACAATCGGTTCAAATTAATTCATAATGTTTTAAGCTCGCGCTCACTGAATAATAATTTGTACAGAATTTCACTAAACTATTTATTGAATACTAAAAGTATTATTTTCAATTGTATTTAATTTAACATTAAATATTAAATATAGTAATGACAATAAGTAAATTTTAAAAAGTTATAGTTGTAAATTATTAAGAGAATTATCATTACCTTATATGAATTTTTTCATTATAATAATTAGGAATTATAAATAACTTCTATAACAATACCTTACAATTAAGGTTTAAATTATACTACAAAACTTATAAAACTTTAAAACTATCTCATAATTCACTCACAAATTTCTATAGCTAACATTCTTTATATTTAAAATGCAAAATAATATACAAATCAACTTTATTTACTGTATTTCAATACATTGGTCCCTAATGTACATATCTGTTAACAATTTTTCGATGTTCATTTTAACTTTTGATTAATTATTAGATGTATTTAATTCCAATCGCTTACCTTGTTTAAATACAATTTTTAAATTGTCATTCTTTAGTCTATTATTGCTTTAATATAAATTATTAATTACATTTTATTATCTAACATTAAAATTATAATAATAATAATATAAGGAAAAATGTTTTACTGTATAGTATTTAAACACAAATACGGATTTGTAATTTCTAATCACAAATATCTGTGAAACATTTTGGATATATTATTTATATGTATTGATAAAAATAACAATTTTTACTTTCACACAATTTTTTATAGTATTATACAATTGCTTGAATCGACCAATGATTTGAGACATTGATGTCAATGATTGCAAGTCTTGTGTCCAAATTGTTAAACCTTTTCACTGATGAGCTCTGCGTTGGGAGAGATTCGTTGAGAGTTGGGATCATTGGTCTCGAATTTGCTGTAAATGGCTTTCACGATAGGACTCTGACTGGAGGTGCCGGTGCCCGACACGTTAGACGTGATGGTCATGGAGTTACCGGTCGTTTGGTTGCCGCCGTGTTTCGATTTAGGCAAATGTCGGTTCTTGAACTCCATCTGACAGATCTTCATCACTTCCACCTGAGAGGCCAACTTCTGGATCTCCTCCTTCAGCTCCTCGTTCTCCTGATACAAGTCAGTGGTCTCTTCGTGGACGAGACCCACGCCATTGATCGAGAAGGAGGCGGTCACTCCTCGCGCGCGGACCCTATTATCCCAGAGATCGCCCTCTCCTTTCACCACACGATAGAACTGCACCACAAATATTGATACAAAGTTTAGCCACTTTTTAAAACTTTATTTGAAAATAGCAACCTTCGGCCCAAATATCAATATGACAGTCGTTGTGGTACTCATTTGTGTCCTCACGAAACCAAAAAAGTATTTAATATCCGGTCCGGCGTTCGGAAGAATGAGAATACTATGAGAAATGATGGGACGGATGGTGGCCCAAATATCAATATGACAGTCGTTGTGGTACTCATTTGTGTCCTCACGAAACCAAAAAAGTATTTAATATCCGGTCCGGCGTTCGGAAGAATGAGAATACTATGAGAAATGATGGGACGGATGGATATAATTAGATATGAATGCATTGAATGACAATTTGAAGTGAATAGCTCACTGAATGAAAATCATGGCAATGTTGACCAGGGTGATGTTGTATATGGCATACGTTATATACTTGGCCTCATTGAAGAAGGACTCGGCATTTCTAACGTTAAAACAGACTTTGATTCCCCACAACAGGAACAGGAATTCGCCTATAAATCAGACAAATGAACATATTATTTAACTCATACCTACAGCACTACAGTTTGTGTCACTTTTAACTCAAATTCAGATCAATTCTTATAAAAGTGCACCAATTTATATAATATGAATATTCAGACCAATGACAAGGCTGTGGTCCCACCAGTTGTAATCGCATTGTTTGAACTTCAGGCCATTCCAGTCAACAAGAAATATAGCCTCCGGGGGCGCACTGATAGTCCATGTGCTCAGATAGATGGCCATCACCAGAAGGATGGGGAATAGCCACTGAAGCAGCTGTTTGTCCGTTAACTTTAGTTTATGCGCCGATTTGACTCTATATGTCAGAGAAACTCTCCACGTCTTCAGCAATAGCGCTGAATATGTGACACAAAATCCCAAATGTCGGGTCCATTTGGTCATTACACACGTCCATACGTCCAGCACCGGGAATATTGCAGCCGTCTATTGGGACACAATACATGTGCTGTATATTCAATATCCTAAGAGCAAGTGGTCGGGCTGTGGGTGTCATACCTCTGAATACATGATAGAACAGCCCAATAGAGTGATGCAGAGGAAGATGGGTGAGGCCACCTTGATTACTTTCAACTTGCGGAACCGGTAGATATAACAGCCCAACACCACCGTAAATGCAATGCACAGTACGGTTATAGTGAGCAGTGATATCCTGAACGCCCAGTTGTATGACGAGAGACAGGGAGAGTCGTCTGAACAGACATCACACCCGAGCGCACACTTCTTGCAGAAGAACATGTAGTCATACGATGGACTGCAACCACATAATCAAGACATATGAGCACAACATAAGACACAACACATGACAGGCGTTGCATTACTTCTTTCCTCTTGTCTTGTCTTCAAAGGCCTGCTCTACGACCGACCCGTTGAACATCGGACCCAAACTCGTGACCGCCGAATGATAACTGAGATATTTAGACATTTCAATTACACTCTATTTTAGACAAGTTTAGAAATAGTGGTCACCCACCCATCACGGCACTGGCACTTGTAGCCACCTCTCAACCATCCCTGTCCTTTCGTGAATATGCACTAATCAATTGAATCAATGTATTACATGTTTAGTCTTACATACAACCAGTCAAACACTGATTAAGTGAATGATACGGTTAATAAAATTATGATTAACGGCATCAAAACTTTCTCTGAATTAAGTACTGTATGAATACTACTGAGCACTCACTTGACTTGTTTCTGAGTGGCATTTATGAGTTCCCTCGAGAGTGAGAACCACGGAATCGTAGGTCTGGTCGTAGTAATAGTGAGTGGCATCGCATTGGTTGATATCGGCGTCACTGATATCAATGTCGGCGCTAATGATACCGCGAATCGATTTCTCTGAACCACTATTTTGTTGGCTATTGTCTAATATTAAGGCCGTGTATGAGATAAACCATAACTTGAGATCACAGTCAAAGTAGACATTGGACCACTCGGACCCTATCACCCCCAATGACCGCCGCATCACAAGGGGTTTGATAAAACTCTTGGGTATCCAAGAGGTGTCCAAAACCAATAATTTGTTCATTTCGTCCTTCATTTCCAAATTCGTTGAATCGATTTCAAAGTAATGGATATTCAAGTGGTCGTTCCGGTGCTCATTGCCTGTGATCCACGCGATCCTCAGACGATATATGTTTGAATCCATTTGAATCAATTGATCCAAAGAACTCCTCATCATTTGGAAGCCATCGCTTTCGGGCTGATATTTGGACAAAATCTTTGACAGCAGTTCCACCCCTTTCCACGTTGTCTCGTATTGACTGTTGTTTGTCAGCGGTTTTGTCAGATAAACGATCGCATCGACTGTCACGCGAACCAACGTCTCTTCATTCAGCACTACCTGTCTCTTGATGTCTGTGCACTCATACCCCCGACTGATCCGATCAATCACTTGTAGTATTATCTGTTCATATAGTTTATCATTATTATTGTTATTATTACATACAGTATTTAATTTATATCATTTTAATATCACATTATACTAATATTTAGATTAATAAACAATTTTATGATTTGATATTAATTTATTATTCAAATAATAAAAATAATCAGAGAGAGAGAGAGAGAGAGAGAGAGGGAGAGAGAGAGAGAGAGATTCTTTAATTTTAAAATATTCTTGGATATAAGATTTGTTTGCATGATTTGGTTACTTAATTATAAATCACAGTATATGTCGAGTACTTGGTCTTAATAGAAATTCATGCTACAGTGCAATCAGTATTTAGTAATGTATTATAACTCTGTATTAATTTATATACTCAACATTCAGTATATCAGGATAGTTCAGATATTCGCTATGGCTTTAGAAAATGTAAATTGAAAAAAGTTAATTAGTTTTGCAATAAATAGTATTTTCAGTAGATACATGTATTTTCGAGTTAGAGTACTATGAAATACGGAACACGATTTATTTTATGATCAATTATTTTATAAAATGATTTCAATAAATGTTTTTCATCAAAGTACGAGATACGGTGATGAAAAATCATTCAATTAAAAATGATTTGTAAGTACAGTAGCTTAAATCATGCAAATAGACTCACTAAAATCAAGTTATAGTTAATATTGATTTAACTGAACAAATATCACTATTCTTAAAAATCATATACAAAACATGTCAAGTTACTTAAAAAAATTAATTAATAACTATATTCTGAATAATTACTAAATTTCAGTATATTTTACCTCGTTTTGGCTGTGATTGTGATGGGAATGAGTGTAGTCTTGAATTGGCGTGAATTGTGGCGACACATAAACCGACGGCGCCATCAAACATAAGATTATAATCTTCAACATTTGGATACAAATATGGCTTAACATGAGTTGAGGACCACATATAAGTCGACTCATTTGGTTTGGTCTCTGGATCGACATTTTTGGTATTAATCAACTCAATGGTTGGCCAAACATCTCACATATTCTTCGGCACCATTGGTAGCCATTTGTCTCACTATTCAATATATCTGTTGAATATATTTGCACATTAATTCAAATATGTTGTATTTATTTTGTTATAATGTTTTATATGAGTAAATGATAACTAATGTTTAGTTAAATATTGTGTTTAAAGAATTATATTTTATACTAAATAAGTTGCATGATTATAAATTATATGTATATCTAAATTCAAGGATTGTTAGCCATCCACTCAACACTTATTATAATGCTTTCAATTGTTATATAATTTTCTGTCTTTATTGAGAGTCACTTCTGTATTAAACATTTTTAAATATTATTTGATTAAAATAAAGTTCATTGTTAGTGAAGACCAAGATAATTGGATTTATATGTAAATTATAAAATTTCCACTTAAATGCTGCTATTTATTTACTACAATATATTTAATTAATCTCAAGTGTTTTTAACTGATTTATATTTTTAAAACATTTTTATTTATATAATTCAATAAAGCATAGCTAAAAAATCAATAACTAGATAAGTCCGCACACAATATTTAACAACATTCGTATCTCTGTGATTAAAATTTTATTTAATAAATTATATTTTTATTTTAGATTGTTTTATTTGAGTTTATCTGTGAAAACGTGATAATATAGTTGTTTATTTAAAATCTACAATCGAGAAAGATTTGATCGAAAATTGCATTTTACACTCGTTTCAGTTCGCTGAAGATTTCCTAATAAAAAACACTTTCATATTATATGAAAATTTTAGTCAAATTCTGTTAGAAAATCTTCTTAACATAAAAT